ATATATATAATTAACCTAAATTTTAACTATAAAAAAATATATGTTTGAATCTTTCAACGTATCTAGCAATAGTTCACAACCCTCAGTCGTCAAAATATCTTATTTTCAAGATTCAACAATTGAAATGAAAATAAATAAATTTCGTCGATGGAGATGAAGAATATGTAAATTTCTTAACGTTTATGGTAAAATGTTATAAGAGATGAAATTGAGCTTCCTCATGTCTTGACCCTTCCAATACATTCTGATAAATAAAATGAATGATAATTCATTTTATAAGGAAAAATAACTCATAACTGAGATATAAATCTATATACCGGTCGACAAAATATAGTTGGATATATGCATGTGAAATCAATTATTCTTCAGGAGTTAACTTCAAAAGAAATTGAACTTTCTTAATTCTATATTCTCATGAAGTAAGATGGACCCTTAATGGTTTGCAGCACATCATACGATTATGAAGAAGGCCATAAACATTCTGAAAAAAGTGCACCAGTGCTTGATATAGCCATAAAAAATTATTTGTACACACCATTTGCACATTTATCATATATATGTGGAGTAGATAATAATATTTGCCCACATAACTTGTCTCTTTTAAGTGTACGCAGAAGATTGACCTCTTCGTCATTTTCAGTAAATTTCATAAGACAGCCTAAAGAGTTACATACATTTGTATCAAAGATATTCACACTATATTATACAGAAATGAAAGTGTCAATATGAAGCTTTATAAAATATTGATGTAAAATACAACAAATACACAAGAAAAAAACTGCATTCAATCAAAGAACTCCTTATCGATCTTTGAAAATTTCATTGCAAATCTATTCAGCTGAAATTAAATCTAGAAGAAAATTATGCTTATAAAAACTCACTGTTGAGTGATTCTTCGAACAATACCACAAAGTACAATAAAAGAATGCAACATAATTGATTGGTAGTTAATAATGTGCCATTGTGCTAGTCCCCATGTTCAAAGCACTCATTCCATAGTTTAGTGATGGATATAGGAAAGACCGTTTGTCACCATCAAATCAAAATAAATCTCCAAATGGCCATATAATTCAGGAAATCAGACAATTGAACCCCTCAAACCACACACTTTTGTGATCATAGAAAGCCTATTAAGCACATACTTCTTTGAGTTTTCCATACGGTTATCGAGTTTCTCTAGTCTGTAACCATGAAACTCAAATATTAATATGAACTATATAAATAGCCTGATCAGTTTGATTAGTGCTTTGGTGCATCTTGCTATGTGAAGTCCACAGTGAAAAACAGCAGCCCTAAGAATCATATCTTAAAAAGCATTGCAAATTAGTCAAAAAAAGAGGCAAGGAGTGGGCTCGACAATTTTGGTGCTTGACCTTGCAAGTTTGAACCCCATCTCAGATTTAATTTCACCATGACAACTGGTGGGAAATCATATGTCAACCAATATGGAACCTGCAGATAAATTTTAGATGAATAGCATCACAAAACCACATTAAGGAATAATAACAAAGCTATTAACACATATAAGAACATGATTGCAGGATATAGCTATGTCATGTCGGTGCGAGCTATTGATGCAGCTGAACAAATCCTTAAGAGAACTACAAAAAAAAAAAGTAAAAAATATTACCTTGATTTTCTTGCTGCCCATAATAGCCTCAGACTGAATGAAATCACCGCTAGCGATCTATGTATGATCCCCTTCAGTCCGAATCTGCATAGCTCATGTGATCAATCACCAAAGCTGCTGGATCATATGGGTCGCATTAATTAGCATCTTTCAAGATACATAAACAAATTGGCATTTTTGAATCAATAACAAAAGCTCGTAAACAGACTGAATCCCACCTCATCAAAGTCTACCCCATAGTCAACATCAATTTCCAAATCAATTAAGACACTGATGCATCAGCAACATGAATAAAATTATGACCAGCATCGACAAATTCCAACAACGACAGACGCACTGAACCCTAATCTCCACAGAATAACCAAGAAAATCGAACAATAAACAATAAGCTTAACCAAGCAAATAAAATGTAACAAAACTTTCTCAAATCTTGAATTAAGGTGACCTGAAATGTGATAGCGGCTATGACAGATTCTCCAGTTTCACCATAAACCATCGGGTCGCCTTTTTTGCGCTGAAACTCTTCAGCCAATTTATGCCTAAATCCATCCTAATTTTCATCCTGCACGAACAATATCGACAATATTTTTTCACTATATCCACAATAACCATAGAAACACGCACAGATCACAGTCAAAATGCGTAAAAATTAGGGCGTATGAAGACAAAGAATGAATTTTTACCTAAGATACAACTTTTCTTAAGATATAACTTTTCTTGCTCCACAGCCGCCACAAACCCGTCGTCCCCATCATCTAGTGGCAGCGCCACCCCCATCTTCTCCACCATGAACACTCTGCTCACCCTCTGCTCCGCATGGATCGACCCCCAATCATTGGCATCCCGCGCGTCACAGCCTCTTGGATGGAGCTACGGCCGCAGTGGGTCATGAATCCAACCACCGCCGCGTGTTCCAGCACCTTCTCTGTGGGGCTAACGACTTTATCCCGAAACCCACACCCTTAGTCCTCTCCAGAAACCCCTCCTGAACCAATTTGCAGATAAAAAAAAATATAAGTGACTTCTCAGCCCAATTAAAATGGAGGCAATAATCAAAATCCATTAATGACACCAACCAATTGGCAATTGTAATTTCCACATCAAAAGAAAAAAAAATATTAAAAAAAGCAATAAATTTACCCTGATGAACCCGTGACACATCAGCATCTGCCGAAAGTCTTCGAAGTTGACCCTCCAATCGTCACCTAAGTCGATCATGACGATCATACTCCGATACTCCTCCGTGGTTTTCACCTACTTCAGCCTGCCGCCGTCATGACCTCAGATCATCCGTCGTGATGAAGCCACCACGTCCTGATCAAAAACCCTAAACGCCTCCCACACGTCCTCTTCACCATCGTGACCCCTGTCACCTCCGCTGTTTGCCATCACCACCACATATAGGGCACTGAACTCCTCGGCATCCACCTGGGCATCCCGTTGGCATCAATCTTCCCGACCATCCGTTGTAGCTTCTCTTCCGACACGTAGATCCCGAGATTCTCTAGTGAATCATTGAGCTTCTCCCGGCTGATGTTGCCGTCGCCGTTCATCGAGCATGGAGAACCACCGATGGAGCACCGACGTGCCCATCTCCTCTCGTGGCACCTAATTGGAGAATTGATTTGGATTTGATTTTGATCGGTCCATCTAATTTTTTTCACTCAATAGTTTTGGGAGAGATGCGAGAATTATTTGGGGAGAGACGGTGAGAATTTATTTGGTTTTCATTTTGATCGGCCCATTTAATTTTGGGAGAGATGCCGATATTTTTTTTCCTTCTTTATAAAGAGATGCCTATAATTATTTTGGGAGAGTTGAGGAGAATTTGTTTGCCTTTCCATTTAAGTTCCCTCAATAATTATAGGATAGATTTTTAATAATCTGACTATACCAAAATAAATATGCTTTCTTTAAATATTAGAATTAAAATTTTGAATGAAACTTTCAAAATATGTTGAGCGGGATTTCTAAATTTTTTTCAAAAAAGTTACTCAGTTTAGTAAATTTGAAATATTTAGGCGGGATTTCTCTTCTATTTCAGGTAAATATCAAACCTTTTTATATTTATATAGATGTACTTTAGGCTCTTGTGGTCGGTGAATATCTCGCACTTTCCTCCATAGCGATAGTGCCGCCAAATCTTCAAGGCGTGGACGACTGCAGCTAACTCGAGATCATGA